AACCCTAACCCTAACCCTAACCCTAACCCTAACCCTAACCCTAACCCTAACCCTAAACCAAAATAGCTTAGTTATCTATATTAGTGTATTAGTTAAAGTATATACTTTTTTCTAAGTTTATAGTAGTATCTTTAGAAAGTATATATAGAATAGCTATAGACTAGTTTATATAGTTAGCGCTAAAAGTATAGCTATAAGCTAGGCTTAATATTCTTTCTTTATCTATACTTTTACTTTCTATAGTTATTCTTCTATATTATAGAGTACACTATTATTATAACTTAATAAAGCTATAAGTAGTAGCTTAATATAATATAGCTAGATACTTAAAAAAGTATATTTATTATTATATTTATTTATATTAGAAGTAGAGCTATGCGTTTATATTAGTAAAAACTTATCTTTAGTATAAGTAGAGTGTATTACTTTAAAAAAGTATTATATAGTAGTATTAGTATTTATAGATATACTTTTAAAATAGTATTAAGTAGATATAGTTTATATATACTTTTATAGTAGAGAAGTACTTTAGATTTTACTAGCTATATAAATACTATAAGCCTTTTATAAGTACTTTTTTATATTCTTATTAGTACTCTTTTAGATAGTAATATACTTATATATACTATATATATAGCTTTTATATATAGAAAGATACTTAATTTATAAAAGTAGCTATTTATTAGACTAAATAAAAAAAAACTTATTATAATTAGCTTTTAATAAGTATAATACTTTAAGAGTAAGAGCTTCTACTTATATACTAGTATATTACTTTATCTTAATATTATAACTATAATACTTATTAAAATAGACTTTAATACTATATAGTAGTATAACTTTTAGATAAAAAAAATAGATAAAAATACTATAGTTAGTATTTAAAATAAATATATTAAGTAGAGTAAGTATAATATAATACTAGTATAAATAAGTAGAAAGATTAGATAATAATATTATAGTAAAATATATTAGAAGCTATTATTAAGAAAAGAATAAAGTTTTTTAACTTATATAAAGAAAGAAACTAGCTATAAAGTAGTATAATAAAGCTATTCTATTATACTCTAAGAATATATAAAGTAGATACTCTTTTATCTAAGTTATTAAAAATTATACTACTACTAGTAGCTCTATTACTTTAGTCTATATATAGTTAGAAATACTAGCTAAATTAATTTTATATATTAAGTAGCGCTTAAGTTATTAAAAGCTAGATATTCTAAAATCTAAGCTCTAGCGTTCTTAGCGTTCTTAGCGTTGCCTATACTATAGATACTAGATAATATCTTATACTTAATAGTATACACTATCTCTATTATATATATATATACTAACTAATATAGCTATATAGCTATAGAAGCTTAATTTTATTCTAGTCTCTATTAGTAAAGATAATAATATTAGTTTACTAGTCTAGAATACTTTTATAATATTAGAACTCTATATAGTAGTATTCTATATTCTACTAAATATAATAAAGTCTATCTAAGCTTTTTTTATATACTCTTTAGATAATATAATCTACTAGATCTATTAATAAGTTAGTAAGAAATAACTTTTAAAGTATATTTAGTAAATTTATAATAATTCTTAAGTAGATATAGAACGCGCTTTTACTAATCTAACTAATAAAAACTATAAGTATCTTTCTAAGTATATATATAAGAAAATAACTATAAAATAAGTAAATAAGTATCTAAAGAATTAACTAGATTATATATTAGTAGAAATAGTAGTAAATTTCTAGAATATAGTTACTATAAAATAAATAAGATTATATATTCTAATTATAAGCTTAAGTACTAGAATATAGCTAAGATATTTAAGTATATAGATATTAGTAAAGTAGCTAAAATAATTAACTATATAAAAGTAGTTACTATAGTTAACTATTTATAAGAATAGAAGGTAGTTCTAAGTATATAGAAGTAGTTATATTAAGAAGGTTTCTATTTATTTATAACTATAGAATTAACTAGATATAATATTATAGAAGATATAACTACTAGAGTAGAAGATATAACTACTAGAGTAGAAGATATAACTACTAGACTAAGTAATAATATAGATATAGTTTCTAATATATAAAATAACTAGCTAGTATTATTTTAGGCTAATATAGATAGAATATTAACTAATATACTAACTATAAGTAAAGTTAAAAGAAATCTAAAGATTAGTTATAACTATATAAAAGAGAAAAACTATAGATATACTTAGTAATATATAGTATTACTAGAATATATTAATACTCTATACTAAATATAAATATCTAGAATATCTTTTATATAGTAGAATTAATCTAAAAAGTATATAAAGGTAGAGTATAGTAATAGTAGTATAAGAGTAGCTATTTACTAAGATTAGTAGTATTATACTTTATATATAGAATAGATAGTTAGAATATAAAAAGTAATAGTTTATACTCTAAAAGAGATTTAGAGTAGAAATCTTTATCTTACTACTAAGAGATAAAGTACTAAATTTATTTATTAAATAGAAACTAATTATACGTTTATAGAACTAGATAAATATAGTTATAATTTATAATAGTAATACTATAGAGATAGTAAAGGTTATAAAACTAATTTTTATAAGTTATATAAAAGTAAAGTCTCTACTAATATAACTTCTACTAGAGTCTATTAAGAAGTCTAACTTTATTAATTAAACTTTTATAAATTTACTTACTTTTAGTTAAAATATATAATAGAACTTTAAGATAGTCTAGAACTTAATAGATAATATAAGTTAGCTTAATTTACTAGTATAAATAGTAGTAATATAAGAGAATAGGTAATTCTAGATATACTTTACTATTAAAATTCTATTAATTTATATATATAAATAGGTAGATTCTTATAGAAATAAAAGATTAGATTAACTTAGTAATACTTAGAGATTTATATATATATAATATTAGAACTTTATCTAGTAATACCTAGAAATTTATAAATATAAAATATTAAATTTTATTCTAGAAATATAGAAGTAATCTAATAGTATAGTTTCTATCTATAAGATAGTAGAAAATAAGCCTAGAAGTTATAATACTTATATTAATAAGTATACTTCTAGAGTTAGCTTATACTATTAGTATACTTTTAGAGTTAGCTTATAGTATTAACTATATTTCTAAAGTTAGCTTATAGTGTTAACTATACTTCTAGAGTTAGCTTATACTACTAGTATAGTTTTATATATAGCTTATAGTATTAAGTATTTTTCTAAAGTTAGCTTACGCTATTAAGTATTCTTCTAGAGTTAGCTTATACTATTAAGTATTTTTCTAAAGTTAGCTTACACTATAGAGCGCACTTTCTAGATATAATTATAGTAGAGAATATACTTCTAGAGCTAGCTTATAGTATTAAATAAGCTTTTAAAATTAGCTTATAGTATTAAATAAGCTTCTAGAGTTAGCTTAAGCTATAAAGCTAGTACTAGAATATAAAAATATATAGACTAAATTTTATAGAATTTAATAGTAAAAGTTATAAATCTAATAAAGTTAGAATAAAGATATTTACACTAATATTAGTATAAATAGTTTATCTTATAATATAAATAACGTATAGTTTAATAAATAGACTAAAAAGAAAATTAATTAGACTTAATATAAGATTTATATATCTTATAGTAAAATATAAAAAGCTATAGCTCTAGAAGCTATAATAGAGTAATAGAGTATTCTAGTATTATATATAATATTACTTTATACGTAATAGAGTTAACTCTAATAGAAGGCTTATAACTATTAGAGCTAGAGATAATTAATAATTAGAGATATTTAAGTATATTATAATTATTATACTACTTAAGAAAGTTAGAATAAAATCTCTAGCTATATACCTAAGAGCTAAGTAATTATATATCTAAGATTATATAATTATAACTACTTTCTAACTTTAATAATAAAGTATCTATAGTTTAAATAACTAAGGTTTACTCTAAAAGCTATTATTAATTAAATAATAAAGTATAATTTAGATTTAAAATATTTAATTTAAAATATAAAAGTCTTAATATCTTAAGAACTACTAAATCTATTAAGCTAAGATTAATAATACAGATAAATAACCTATATATAATAGAATTATAAAAAGATTTTCTAGAAATTTAGTTTATTTTCTTAACTCTATCTATATCTATACTATTATAGTATATTATTTCTATATATTCTACGTAGCTAATACAGAGAATGCTAATTTTAAAAGGTTAGGCTATTTTTCTATTACCTATTTCTATTTACCTCTGTAAGATAACCTTTATCTGCGTAATAGCAGGACTGCAGTTATTATCGTTCTGAACCGATTTTGAACAGGCGTAGCACTGCGCCGAAGCAGCCTCGTGCTTGCTCTTGCGCTACACCACTCGCTTTCTTCTCTAAGTGTACCAGCTCCTGCTCTTTCTCCAGCTCCAACTCGTTTGCGCGTCGCACTCTCTCCTTCATGTCTGCGCGATGCATGTCGCCGAGACCCATCTTCGCTTCTTCGCGGTCCGAATTCCACTGCGACAGGCTTTCGCGCGTCGGTATCGCGCGCCGTCCGACTCCAGGGCTGCTTCGGTGTAGGGCCATACCCATGTTGGGATGATGAGCGACCGTAGGTGGCGGAACGTACTGCGGCGGAGGGCCGACACACAAGCCCGATTGCGCATGCCGATGGAGGGATGAGCGGTGCGTCTGGTCTGGGAGAGCGACTTCGAATGGTGAAGGGCTGAAGCGCGAGGACGATGTACGCTGCTGGCCGCACGACCTCGGTTGCGCAGCTGTGAGTGCAGCAAGTGACTCCGAACGTGCTCTTCGCATTTTGCCTTGGTGATGCTGCTGAGCGGAGCGAGATATTCTGCGTCTCCGGTTCTGTTGTGACAGGTCAACATGAGCAATGCGCTGGGTCGGCAGCGACACCGAAGGTGCATTCAGTTCCAGCTGCATCGGGCCTGCTGAGTTCGGCCGCGGGCAGTTCTCGTGGGCCGGGGTGGTCATTTGGCGATATCTCAGCTTCGAGTGCAAGCCGACGGGGATGAGTGGAAGTTCGGCTGCATTGAACGGTTTATCGAACGAGTCAGAGTTCGTTCCTTGTGCGGCGCAATCGAAGAACCCGGCACCTGTGTACACATCACTAGCCTCAAGACTATGCGACCAGGGACGTGACTGGCTGTTCATGGTTCCAACGCTGGATCGGCGGTCAAGAGTGCCGCTTGACGACGAGGAAGATGAGAAACCGCTCATTGAATAGCCGTTGGTGAGTAACTGAGGATGACTGGAGTATGATCGAAGGTTGGACCGTGAGGCAGAGCGCACTGATTGCCTTTCCACCTTGGGATAACTTCCATCTTGCGGCATGTGTTGCACGGACTGGCGGCGACGTTCCCGCGATGCTACTGCCCCTCTGTGATGGAAGCCTGAATGCTCTCGTCGGGCGTTCCAGCCTTCCTCCTCCACGTTCACCCCTCTACCATGAAGGCTCTGTTCGTACCGTTCTTGGTGGCTTACTGTAGGATGCAAAAGCGATGCAGGAGCCGCAGCTTCGGCTTGAGAGCACTCCAAACTCGACAATCGTCGGTATCGACTTGGCTGTGTTATCACGGTCCCAGCATCCTCTCCCGCTTTGGAGGCGCATTCCCGGTCTCGCGGCGGCCTCTGTATCTCAGCAGCAAAGAGACGGAACTCAGGCGTCGCAACGTCAGTCGCTTTGAGTTCGCTGATGCTATGGAGAGTGCGCCGTCTTTCCTGAAACCGTTCTGGCTTGGTCTTAGGCTGAAACTTGGGCGATTGAACCTGAGGATGAGGCTTCTGGAGAGGCATGCTGAGGGTTGGTCTTCCTGAAGGGATGCCGCGTTACTTTCAGGCACTCTGGTTGGTCTATACCTCGTAGTCGAAGCGTTTCAAGGTTTCCTTATGTGCTTGTAGGTTAGTAGGGGCTTCTATCAATGTCGCGCGCCTTAAAGCGCACTATCGGTGATCTCGGAACTGAGCTGCATATCGTGCTACAAACCCTGCATACTTGCCAAGCGAGGATACGGTCGACGGTGTGGCCGTTCCGTTGCCGTCGCACCTCGAATGGGTCTTCGGACAAGCAGACGTGGAACGGGGACACGGATTGCTTTGCGAGTAGCGGTCAGTGTAAATGCTGCTGTTCATGAGGAGTGACACGAACGACTTGGCAAAGTCTCGTTTATCCTGGGCAACATAGCATCACACTAGTTGACGCGAAGAGTAATACGGTAGTGATTATTTGAGTTGCTGCAGCTCGCGTGCGTGCTCGAGTCGAGACCTGCGCCTCGAATGTGTCAAAACCACTGCTTTTCGCATCTCCAGTGATTCGGCGCTTTGCTAGGTGGATCATGATTGCGATGAGGCGGTTACTGCAGATCATCTCGGGAAAGCCATTCCCTCGGCGACCCAGCCGTGAGGGTCGAAGCGCGTGGCAGACAGGTGGTCCGGCAGGGTCAGCCATGTCGGGTCCAGTATGACGGGAAAGCAACATCACATTTTGGGTACAGCAGCCTAGCATTGCGCTCTCATAGGTCACCGCGGATGCGCCACCACGTTGGGTTAGGTGCGACGAGGTGCAGCAGGGGAACGGGCCGTGAGATCGAGACGCTTGTGAAGACAATGTAGAAAAGAGCTATCGAGCCATGCGAAGTCCGTCGAATGAGAAGCGCGTGAATACTGGCTGCATTGATGAAGATGATTAGCATCCTTTCACAACGCAGTGTAAGGCTCTTGTGTGAGCCAAGGTCAGCATAGCTGCCGTGCGATTTCGCAACTCTAAGACATCACACCTTCTCGCTTCCTGCAAACTCAATACTCGAATAAGTGAAACTGGTAGTGTAGCCACATATTCGGGCTCGGTTGCGGGGACACCGGGGACGCCGGCGCGTGATCGGTGGATGGGACGCGAAATTTGTAGGCGCGGTGACATTTACTTCATTGGTGTTGGCTGCCCATAATGACATCTGGCGTCGGATGTATCTCTATCCCCGTTAGCCTTCCTGGGTGTGTGCATCATCTCTAGCTTTCGTCAGCCCATCTGGCGTTGCCTCCACTGTCAGCTCACTTGCAGTGACAATTTCTCTAGCTAGCTTTCTTGCCTTCATATCTGCGGTCATTCGACTCATCTTCGCGCGTATCTCATCCATCCTGACCGCCATATCATGCGTGGTGATGCTGGGGTCCCGACCGTGATCGCCGCCAACGGCGAGCTTGTCGCGCATAGGTCGCGGTGTAGGTACGCGGGGCGTGTTCGCATCATGCTCGGTCTGCGCATCAGCTATGGCAGGTCGAAGGAAACCTGGACTGCTCGTGCGATTGGCCTTTACAGGAAGCCTGCTGTTAGTATAAATTGACGAGCAGGTACTACGCCGAGTAGTGGCTACGTCGTCCAGCGACAGAGATTGAGCTGAGTCGGAGCGTAGGTGAGCAGATAACGGGGAGGACGCTCTAGGTATCAGCCTCTTGATGGACTTGGGTGGGATGGGCGGAGCGTGTTCGGTATCAGGTGAGGGGCCTCTGTGCTCGTCGTTTGGGGTTCTCTGGAGTTGTACCCGAGTCGCCCGGAGACCGTGCGTTGCAGAAGCCGAACGGTGCGACTGAGATGCTGAAGCGACTCTGGATGCATTCATGCTGTTGCTGGATGCCGGTTGGCACCATCCTAGGCTTGCCTTTGTAGGGCGGGTATAGTTGGGCGCATTTGTGGTAGACGCAGTCGACCTCAAGCTAGCTGTTGCAGGCTGGATATGGCTGGGGGCTCTCGCTACAGCCGGAGTAGGCTGGTCCCCGTATTGCACCGAGGCTGCTGGGAGTGATGGCCTTGACGTGGGTGCGGAAGGCGTAGGCGACTGGCATAACTGTGGGTATCGCGATGTTGGTCGCGACAGTGTGGTAAACAGGCGCTTGCTCAGTGAAGGCGAAGTGCGACGGCATCTAGAGATGGCGCTAGGCAGCGACGTGTTAGTCATGCTGGCAGGTGCAGCTGGCCCACCTAGAGTCGCGACTTCCTCCCCAGCACCGATGTACTTTCTCATGACAAACTCTACCTGAGCAGCAACATCGTCAAAGTCCAGCGCTTCGAGCACGTCGAGCGCTTTCATCTTGTCGTTCAAGGCTGCGCACCACTCATGACTGATCGCGTTCTGAGATTGCGCTATCCTCTTGTTGCGAGCCACGATGTCCGACCAGTCCCGATAGGACTGAAGTCCTTTCTTCATGTCTGCGCAGGCTTTCACGAGATGCTCCTTGCCTACAAGGGCCCAGGGTTCTAGCATCTCAAGCACAGCAACGTTCGCTGCGTTGCCGGTGAGCTTACGCCAGATGACCAGAAGCCTTTGTAGATCCCATCCGACGGTCAGCAAGTTATTGCTAGCTATCTCAAGTACATCTCGTACGTCGCCGCAAATGTTGTCAATGGTGCTGGAGTCCACAAGGAGAGCGAAGTGAAAACGTTCGATGCTGTTGATGAGCTCGTGGTAGTGGTCAACGGACAGATCAGAACCCGAGGGCGACTCGATAGCGGTAGAGACCTCCGAGATACGGGGGCTTGTGGAAGCTGGGATCCAGTCTGATGTGGGATTTCGCGCATGTGTATGACGAGGAAACAGTGTCAGCGGGCTTCCGAAGTGGGTGGTGATAATGGTCGTTGAGGAAACGGTGTCGGCTGTGGAAGAGGATGATTCAATCGCGAGATGCTGCTGTCCATGCGCATACTCTACTAGTACTGGTACACTTCCGAGGTCCTCGATCGCAGCTGCATCGTTATCGCGAATAGAACACTCCGGAACGTCATCGGATTGGAAAGCCACGGGGGCAGAGATCAGCAGCTGTGTTCCCATCCCCGTAGAAGGATCGGTACTCCCATGGCGCCTCAAGGCAGTCCCAGTCGCCTCCGCATCCTTCGATCGACCGTCACGGTTGTGGACACGCTCCCAGAGTCCCTTCGCCGCACGCTTGGCCCAAGATTTCTTGACGTCCTGGCCGTCCTGACCTTTGCGCGACGCCAAGTCAGCATCACCGCCCTTCCAAGCCTTGCCAGACGAAACGAACTTACCTCCTGCGACCGTATTCGCACGTCTGCGCCATCTCCGCAGGCCGCTATTCTCTGCGGCCTCGGGATCCATTCGGCGGGTGACGAAAGCGCTGAACGCACCCATTTTGTCGTTGGCGGACTGGTATCGGAAAACGGGAGAGCACGCGTATTGCCGAGATGCAGGACTGGTTGTTGAAGGAGGTTTCTCGTATGAGGTGGGACTTAGTTGTCAGTACGTAGATGAGATGTGGTGTGAAGCTGTCAGTCGCAGAATATTGCGGGCAGCGCATGTACGAGACCCTCGCCATTGTGGCTCTCGTTACCAGACATTTCAGTGTGGAGAGGCATGACACAGTGGCTTATTGGCTCTGCTCGGTGGTCGCTGGTCAGTTTTACGTATGCTGCAAGGGTCCAGGAAGCGCTCTCGCGGCCAGCGCAATGGCAAATCTACCGGCTATCAGGAGGTTTGTCGGCTTCAAGATATTCATTCGAGAGTCTGCCCTGCGCATGTCAGTCTGTCGCAGTATGCAGTATGGCGCTGCGCAGCTGCAAGCTGCAGGCGCTGACAAGCTGCTCGGAGCGACACCGCGCAGCCTGCATTCGGTACCAAAGTATGCACAGCATGGAACGCGACCGCCTGGCCAGCAACATGGATGGTCATTATCGATTCTTTTATTGTCGCATGCTATCCGAGCCCCTACAAAGCAACCAGTGTAACTCCTAAACGCTCAAACATGTATCCCCATATAACGCTGCCCCGTTGTTCGCGGTCGGCGCCGGCTGCGGGGCGGGTTCGTGACGGTCGTGGAACGAGGGGGAATGCAACATCCATCAAGCACTATTCGCTGTTAAGTTCAGTTACTACGTGTCTCGCCAGGACGCTGGCGAAGAAGAAAAGAGGAGGGGGGAGGAGAGGAGGTATGGTGTTGAGGCCCGGACTGCACGGCGAGCGCGAACGCGAACGATGTCATTCGAAGGAAGAGGGCAACGATAGTTGTGTTATTGGCTGCGTGATGCCAATTAGCACTCGTCCATGCTCATCTTCTAGAGACACTTCGTCGCCTTCGCTCGCTCGTACAGTCATGTATAGGCTCGATGTAAGCGAAAGGGCGAAGGCAGGGGTTGACTTACTACAAGCTCAAAGTCAAATCGCCGCGGATACTCGCTTTGAGTTCAATTTCAATCTCCAGATTCGCCTCGAGCGTCAGCTTCAGCCCGTCCTGGTCCTTGAGCTCGCTGCCCTTTTGCTGCGGCTCCATGCGGTATGGCTGGTTGGGGTCGGTGCCGCGCATGGGGATCTCGCCTCTCATGGCGCGGGCGTATGTGACGGGCCCGTCCATGGATGTGCTGTCCGGGCCGATGCGCTCGAACATGCCCATCTTCTGGAGATCGCCGTTTGCGTCGGCTTCCTCGAGGGCTTCCAGCGACGTCGTGTGCATGTATTTGCCATTCTTCTTGTCTTCTTCGATGCGGTTGCGGCGGGCGCGGCGCGACGAGGAACGCGACCGGGCGGACTGTAGGCCCGCCTCGCGCTTGTCCTGCTTTGCCTTGTTCACAGCCTTCTCCTGCTGCATCGTCGACCGCTCGTGCGGCTGGTTCTCATAGTCGGAGTCCTTGTCGGCCATGTCGTCGGGTATCCTTGCTATCATGCAAGGCTTCGGGCGGTTGGAGGAGGCTGTTCTGGATGGGGATTGTCTGCGTGATGGAGGTGAAGAAGTGCGCAGAGGTGTCGAGGTAACGGCGATGGATGCGAGCAAGATGTGAAGTCAGCAAGGTCGAGCAGCAAGCGGAGCTACTACACGCCTACGCACGCCACGACTGGTACGGGCAGCTCCACTCCAAAAACAAGATTACTCGCAACGGCCTGGTCCTCTGTAGCCCCCAAAGCAAGGACGCCGCCGCCGCAAGCTTGCACCCCTGTCTTTTCATCCGTCGTACCGTCTCACCGTTTCAGGCTCGCTACGGATGACGTCAGGCCCACATCGAGCGACACCAGCCATTGAGTTCCCAATCGGGTTGACAGCCGCTGCGTGACGTATGTCAAGACGATGCATCTGCGCGCGTCTTTGCAAGTCGCCCGACATTTGCACACATGCTGACGACGCGCGCAGCGATGGCGAAGCATTACCAGTCTCGCGCCCACCCGAGTGGCTAGTCCGCCCGCCGATCGCTTAACGCGGACCGTTGATCTCGCGGGCAACGGCTGTGCAATACTCGATCCTGGGCATAATAGTTGTCAAGTTTAGACTCAGGCTCGGATACCTTACTTCATGCTCAATGAGTTGACGTCGCATGCGCTCTCGGTTACTGGGGTATTATTACAGGGCCTGGTAATAACGCGCCTAGTAGAGACATCCCCTGACGCTGCGGTGACCATGACGAAGTTGGATGAGATTACAGAAATGCCAACACCGTCAGTATGCCAGCGCGATGGTTCAGCAATGGATGATGGTGCAAGTTGTTTATTGTGTCGTATTATACTGCAATACGTATCGTAACACTACATGCAAAACTCCATACCAAACGCCATTATGATCTCCCAATATAACAATCGATGCGTTTCGTGCATTCATCCTCGGCCGTCTCCTAGTTACTGCGCAAAGTTAGCATTTGGCTTCGGTGATAAGTGGCTGCATGCTTGACTTACAGCAATCCAAGCGTGAGATCACCGTGGATCTTGGCCTTCAACTGGATCTCAATGTCGAGGTTGAGTTCCAGGCGCAGCCTCAGCTGCTCACCTCCGTCCTTTCCACCCTCCTCTTCACCACCGCCGCCGCCAGTCAGACCTCCGAGAGCCTTGCCGGCGGTGTCTCCAACTTGGTTGACGGCGTTACCGGCAGTGTTTTGAACCATCTCGCCGGCTCCACCGACTGCATCGCCTCCGGGGACGTTCTCAGTGATGTCGTCTAGCGGACCTCCGCCCTTGCCGCCCTTCTTTTGGCGCTGGCGGTTGCGACGGCCTCCAGATTGGGACACGTCGGATCGCGCATCAGACTCGGCACCGGAGTCTGCGCCTCGTCGGCCACGGCCACGCGACTGGCGGCGTCTCGATTGCGACTTTGACTTCTCTTGTTGGGGTTCGTCGGACTCGTTGTCAGCGTCGCCGCCGTTGGTTTGCTTCTTGGATTCTGCGTCCTCTTGCTCAGCTTTCCCTTCGCCATCGCTTTCGGGGGCAGGAGTGGCGTCAGGAGTGGGCTGCTGTTGAGGCTTCTTTCCGCCCAGCTTCTTCGGCGTCTTCCTTTCGGTTTTCTTACTCGATGATTCCGCACTGCCCTTTGCGCCTACCGAGGCGTTGGCATCCGCGTTTCCCTCTCCGGAGACAGACTGCTTAGTCTCTTCAACTGTGTCCGCCATGGTGCTGTTTGGGTGGTTCTTGTGTGGGTGGGAAGTACTTAGACGGGTGATGCGTGACGAGCTGAAGGTGCTTCGGAAACTGTTGCGAGTCCAGAGCCGCGGCGCAATTCGTTAATAAGAGAAAAGCGGCCTGGGAACAGGAACCGGTTTGAAGCTTCAAGGTACCTGCTACCCCTGCCGCACTCGAGCCACCCGTCATGCAGTCTGACGCACCATGTGGCACCCACATCCACCCCACCGCCAGCGTCCCAAAACTTGACCCCATCCCTGCGCGCTGCCAACCTGATTATTTTAGATCTGAATTCGTGCTTGCGACAGTCTAGCTGTTCCGCTCAACCCGATGCGTTGCGAGCTCGTGTGCCTCTGGTCTCGCTTGCTCGTCATTGGCGCGCGCACCAAGCCCAGCAGCGATGCATCGAGCAACGCGTCAGCTGAATGCGCTTGACATCAACGCTTTGGGACATGCTGTGGCACGGGCGAGGCCTCGATCAGTGGTCTGGCGGAACGTTTACCCATAGGGTGCGGGAGAACGTTTAGTGCTGGCGTAGAAATGGGATCGCGTCTTCATAGCGCGCACCATCAGTCTGAGGTAGCGCAGCGTCGAAAGAATCCCGCGATAAATTCGATATCATGAGCGTTGTGCTAACGATCGTTGGGAAGACGCAATCGCGGGGCGCACCAGATCTTCCCCGATGGCCGGCCCGAATTGCGCCGGTCTGGCGGGTATCGTGACGACGGCATTTCCGTACGCACCTCCTTCAGAGCTCAACGAGAGCAACCAGTCAATTGGACACCAGCATACTACCATTCCAGCATGACATCTCCTGAAGCTGCAGATGCAGCCGCAAAGCAGCGGATCATCAAGCACATGAATGCAGACCACCACGACTCCGTACGCGCCACCCACTTCATGCACCATTGATGTCGAATTCGAGTCCCAATCCTAATTTTCACTCTAGATACGCCGGTATGCCGAAGCGTACGCTTCCAAGTCCATGATCCAGAGTCGCTCGGCGCAGATGACCGACATTGACCTGAACCAGATGGTCTTGAGCTGTGGTGGCCAACAAGCTGTCATCGCCTTCGACCCACCGATGAAGGCCATGCGCGAGGCTCGCGAGCGGCTTGTTCAAATGGACAAAGATGCTCTCCAGACCCTGGGCCGGAGCGACATCGCCATCACGAAGTTCGTTCCTGCGCACATGCGTCCTGCTCATCTGTGGAACTTCACGCAATGCGTGTTTGCCCTGCTCTTGCTGCCGCGGCCGGCAAACTGGCAGCCTGGATCGCTTCTCTACGACACCGTGTTGTATCTTGTGCCAGGCTTCGCGAGTTTCGTCGCTCGAATCGGCTTCACGGTTTGGGCTATCATGGTACCCATTCACATGGTTGAAGCGATCATCATGGCGAGGAAGCTTGCGAAACACGGATGCACATTTCTTGATGCGGTATGGTGGAAGTGGGTGGGCACGTGTTTCGTTGAAGGGTTCACGTCGTTCTTCAGGCTGAATGCGCTGATTGCGGAGAAGCATAAAGAGAAGGACGCGAAGAAGCATTAAAGACGACAGAAATTGTGATTCGAAGGCAACCTTCCTAGTGTAGCATCCTCAACTCCATGAGATTTTCCCTGACGGCGATGCGCCCATATACCATACCGGTCAGGACTTCCTCTTGGCATCCGATCGAGCACTGCGAACGTAATCCTGGATCCATCGAGTTGGTGTTACAAGCAACGGTATATGCTTGCAATGCCAACTCGATCAATTCGGA